TTCAATACTAAACTCGTCCTGTTGAATCCAAGAAAGTACGTTATAGAATGAAGAGTCTTTTTGTCGAGCGAATCGCGGAGATTCTTTCTTTTATATCATTTAACATGCTTTTAGCTATCTAGCTGTGACACATGATGGGTGCTATGTATACATGTTGGATGACTAACTTGACATTAGGGACACTCACACTCTGGATTACATTCGCGTATATCACTACGAGATGTCTGCTCACACAAACGGTCGATCCTCCTCTGTAAGAACCCACCAAAGGGGCGTTCCAAAACCTTTGATCATCCAAGCATGTCTTGGTCATGCACGTAAATCAGCGCCGGGAGAAATGAAGCTTAGTTTTGCCGGATCTGAACCAGCGATCTCCCGTTTCGAGTGGGATAATGGTCCAAGCTATCCGGAATCTACATGGGGTACCGGCCTAGATGATGTATCACTGCACCATCTATACATGGTAGTGTTTATAGCGTTGCCCGCACAAAGCTCAATTTGTAAAACTCCTTTTAAAAATCTAAAAGCTCACCCCTTTCGTGATTGTATCTAACGTTAGCATAATGTTGTCCATATTCCTCTCACGTCCATCCCAAAAAAATTACCCCCAGGCTTTTGCACCATTATTTGTGTCCTCCAGGGGGTATCCATATTCTTTTGGGCGTGTATGTGGGGACCAATTGAGGCTAGCGATTGATTAGATTAGATGTATAATCACTGTGGAAAGAATCCACTAGGACGTATTTGCGAACTTGACGAAGCTTTTGCCGGAATTGGCCCTGTTGGGATTGCGATATCGACTTGATAAGGAGTATGAAATCATTGTCTCGTGGGCCAACTTGTTCGGTTTTGCAAAATTTGACTGAACATGGCTCTGAGAGAATATTTCACTGCCAGGTTTTCAGAGTACACTGCGTACAGGTATTGAGTCTTGCCCTTTATCGCAGACGTTCTTGAATTGTTGATGTCTAGACTTTCACTTTGAATGTTGGAGCGAAATCCACTATGGCATGAATGCAAATAAAATGAGTTGTTCAATTTTCTTCACCTATACCTAGGGCCGGGCAGTGCAGTGCAGCGGCAGACTGTTTGGGCCATTTTTTAGTAAATTCTAGGCAGCTTGAGCACTGACCTTGTTAGAGATAAGAGATAGCTGATTCTCATCTAGTGAGACTCATACAACATTTCTCACGTGGTGACATCGTGATTGTAGGGCGATGAAATCACACTTATGTAACCTCGGACGTCCCATGCTTTTCCAGGTAGTGGATATGCAGGGAACAAATTGTACGCTGTGAGGGTTAACTACAATTGGTATCTGTAAATTTAGTCTGAGTCTGAGTGTGAGAGTCCCGAACGTCAAATTGTATCATCCTTCACAGGATACATATCTTCCGAAAAAACTTACGTAGGCCATAAGGCGCCAAAAGAGGATGATTGAATTGTCAAGGAGATTTACATATCGAAGTGCATTGTGCGCCCCAATGCCTCGAATGCGAGAGTGCAGCTGGAACTGTAAAAAGAAGCAAACGATGGAAGGTGCTGTGGTTCGCCTCCTGGTGGTGTTCTTCGGTGTAGTTTAAGTAGCCTGAGCACCTACTCCACTTGTGAATGAGACGCCTCAGACCACATCTCGCACGGAGAAAACTCGGTGGATAATGGAGAGGCGTCTGGATAAGTCAGGGTTTTTGAGACGTTCGCCTGGGTGGGTATTCACGGTTGAGGGTTGACTTTTGGTAAAGATAAGGCCGCCATAACTTTACAGTGGTACTTGCAAATGAAATTCGAGGAATAAGTAATCTTCTTTTAAATAGAGTCACCTATCATGTACTTTTTCTGTAATATTTTATCGTGGCTGCCTAGCTGCATACGCAATTAAAGTCTGACGCAAAAAATAGGAATATTAGATTATCTAAACATGGACTCACAGCTTGGTGAATCGGCCCCTCTATCATTAGCATCAATGGGGATTCTATAGAAAAAACAATATTCATCACTCACTCCTGTATACCCTAAGGCACCGAACAATCATACAGAGACGAGTGAAACTTTTGCTGCAGAGATCTAGCCCTTAATAGCCATTGTTGATGTCCACTATGAAACTGGGTGTCAAGGAATTTATTAGTCGAGTTTTTGTAATGAAAAGGATGGATTAAAGGGTTTTCAACAAGATGAAAACAGCCGGCAGGATTCTGGAAGATTTGTTTGTGGTCGAGAGCTTGACGTGAATAAGTTCAACGTTTGTAAAATCAAACTGAATTCATGGGAGGACGAAGGCTGAACATCCTCGTGATTAGGCCTTTACGAACACAACGATAAAAATTCCCTCAGGGCCGAGATCCAATCACGGCTAAGAATTTTCTTGAGAGTTTCCTTCAATGTGACGGTCGGGAAGAGTGATTGGTATGCTTTTGCTCCATTGCCCGACCTACAGATACTTCATGCTTTCACAACCCCATGAAATCAAACAAAAACACCCAAGATAGAATCTGCAGAAAGACTCAAACCTGCGTATTGTTAGGATTAAAACAATTGACATTCTTTCCCAGTTAATTTCAACCCGTGACCATCTCATCACCCACCGGAGCTTCTCATCATCCAACAATATACTACCGTTGAAATAAAGAAGTTCAGGTAAAGTCTACCTTGTCACGTGAAGTCGGGTCAATTCTCTTAGAGGATTGCACTATCAAGATATGTAATTATGATTGTAATGTTTAAACTTTATATAGCTTTCTAGATATCAATTAATCCACTGTGTATATTTTTTAAGAACTTTTAATTTAAGAAACTACACAACATCCATCCAACTTCAGATGCCGTGAGCCATGAGAATACGGGCTAAGTACCGGCCTCGAATACGACTAAACTTCAGCTGGGCGGACCAAAAAACTTGACCGGCGGAGAATCGCCATTAACTGAATACGTGGTATCTTGCCGGCACATCAACCGCAAAATTGAAAAATTGCGTAAGCTTCGTCGCCTCGGTCTTGAGCTCTTCCGCGTATATCTGGCCTCTACGTTTAAGGTTTTGGGAGTAATGGGGCAAAGCCAAAGGAATGAAGTCTTTCAAGTCTCTATGAAGTTGGCGGATATCATTAGAAGATGCGGTAATGAAAGATCAAAATGGAAATAAATGAAACAAGCCTCGGTGGGAGACAGGATTCGGCTTCTAGGGAATAAATTTTTTCGGATGAATTCAGAAGACGCTACGGCGTGGCATAACTGGGACTAAAATTGAAGGAAAAACTAGAGATGGGAGTGTCAAGGGCTGGGGCGATTTATGGCGGAAGCTAAAGAGGAATCTGCGCTTCTGCGTGTTAAAGCTGGAATGTCTAGACGGTTATACTTGCTATGATTAGCACATGGGTGAAGTCTAAGGTGGTCCGATAATTCAGGTGGGATGAGATTCATGTACTTAATAGTAGTCAACATGATCCAGCCCAGCCTCACTCGGGTTTAAGGTCTCAAAGGGGCGTGGAGGGCAACTTGAATTTTTTACGTCAAATGCAAAAATACAAATGCTCGCTGCTTTAGACCAACACAAAATGATAATACCTACACCGCACCCCTCGTGAAATTTGTCATTGGATGTTAGCCATGTTAACAAATTGTAAAAAATTAAATACATGATGTGCTTGTAGATTAGTAGTGAATCGATATGTTGTAGAAATTGAACTTCAATATAGGCAGTATCATTCTGGACAGGCCCCAACGTGGTGTATGTTAGGCCTCGTCAAAGATACAGCGGCACCCATTTATTTTCTAACCGCGAAGGCGCCTATTTAAATACCTAATTTTCAAAGAATGTCAGGTCTACAGTTCTGAAGGAAGCCTGGAAGACAATCATAACGTATGCCCAGCTTGTAGTGGAAAAGGTGTTTGTGATCCTTCTCAAATTCATAGGCGCACGTGAATAGGGCGCCCTCGTGCCCACGTCATTGATGATACCCAGCAAGCATAAAAGTATAATGAAGATATCTAGAATTATAAGAGAATGCAAGTACGTATCACCTGGATTAATCATCCAAGAATTCTCCGTTGCATTTTGCCGTACGTGGGGGGGAGGGGCCCGACAATGAAACCCCGTAATCCTCGTGTCCTTACGACGTGTTAATTGTCCATCATTGAAAACAGGAGCCCAAATCCTTCAGTAGTTAATTTTTGGGCCCTAGATCAACCCATGCCTCCCCAGGACATCTTTGCAATTGACGGCATTTGTTGTTTCTAGAGGTCATCTGGTTAGCATCTCGTTTCGACTCTTTTTCAGCGTCTCGCTTGTCCTCACAGTCGGGTTTCGAGGTCGAAAAGGTTGACGGAGTAAAAGCTTATTCATCTCTGACACTCCAATCACAGCGACCAAGATTTATTAACCATTTTGTGTCAACAGTTTAATAGCTTTAATCATTGCCAATGAAGCTGTAGTACATTAGCTTTAGCAGGTACGTCAATGTTCATTTTGCCTACCATGAAGCAAGTAAACGGCATGTAACCTTACTTTCATGCAACACAGCTCATTTAGCAATTTATCAACTTCCTCTCCATCACCTCTTCAACTTTCTAAAGTTATATTTCTCACGATAAGTGGCCCTACAGTGCTAGCATACCCACATATCACCAACATTTCAACTTTTACACCCATGTCCTAAGAACGGGAACAGCTATTTTCGAAGGATAGAAAGAGAGGGATAACATCAGACCATGCGTTAGTTGCATTTTATGACCCTCTCAACAAACTCACGATGTTCATGGCGATCCCATCGAACGGGACTGGCTTATTGTTAAATCAGAATACCTTTTTTTCCTCCAAAATCCGTACGATAATTTCACACCACGCCGACATCACCTTCTCTAACGGTTTGCGCACGATTTCCTCGAGCAAATACCAATAATATTCCGTATCCATATTTATAAAAAGAAATCTACTCATTGTATTTTTGCGCAACAAGATAGAAGAAAAGATATAATCGTCACTTGCAGGACATCAACCAGTCTTTCAAATGAATGGGTTTTTGGGAAACGCGCCGTTGCCTGTTATGTACGTGCGAGCGCTGTACGATTACGAAACGGACGACCGAACAAGCTTAAGTTTTCACGAAGGAGATATAATTCAAGTAATCACTCAATTAGAAAGTGGCTGGTGGGATGGTGTTATTGAAGGTGTGCGAGGATGGTTCCCTAGCAATTATTGCCAAGTTCTTCAGAACCCGAAAGAAGCATTTGACCACAAATCCAATGAATCACCGGAAACTGATGGAGAAGCCGATGAAACCGAAGGAAGCGAGGCTTCTGAGGAGTATGAAGATCACTATGAAGATGAAGAAGCGCAATCTGAGAGAGAAGATTTAGCCCACGTGCCCAGTGAGGTAGATAGTATCGATAAGGATAGACAGCGCGCAGACTTTTGGATACCTCAAGCCACGCCTGATGGGAGATTATTTTACTTTAACACCGAGACCGGTGAAAGTAGCAGTGAGCTACCTTTAGAAACTCCCTTACTCAGCGAAATCAGCCCGAGAGACCGTGTTAAGATTAACAACATGCCCGAAAAAACCAAACCGCCAACCGAATTAATGGCCAGAGGATACGTTCATGATGAAAATGACGAATCAGATGGGAACTCTTCTGTAGACCACGGAGAAATCTCAATGATAGGTCATAGTAACTCATACGTACGAACCGAATAAACCCAACAACAGTCCTTGCTAATCTATAATAGTCTCGACAACATTCTCTTATTACCACTGGCATCTCTTCCTCGTCTTCGATCGATTCTATTCACGAAATAATACCGTCATCCCGATCTCGCCGGGACTTATCAGTGCCTAATGTCACATGCTCGAGCTCTTCATCGTTCCTGTCGACACCATCACTTAAAGCTCCTCAAACTAATAGCTTATCACGTTCATTCTTTGATGACGGAAACATTGCACCGCTCACATGGAATAGGCTTGTCGCAAATATGAAAATTGCAGTCGATCGATATCAAGATGCAATCAATAATTACGAGAGATCCGAATATGTACGCCGAGCCGAAGATATTTCCGATCATCTCCGTATGCTTCTTGCAGCAGGTTCGGGGACGACCGACAACCATTCAGGACAGCCGTCAATAATTTCCTCAAATAAAGCGCTATATCCGCACTTCCGAGACATGATGTCAAAATTCTCTAAGCTTGTAATCTCATCTCATATTGCTGCAGCTGACTGGCCAAATGCCGAATCGTATCAGAAATGTTTACAAGAGGCAGATGGTGTTTTACAAGGTGTTTTCTGCTATGTTGAAGTCGCTAGACAACAGCGAGGTGAAGATATACCAAGGTTATTTCCAGGATTTGTGATGGGAAGTATGACTGGGGGAAATTGGCAAAATAATGGCCTGAGCACAAGGGATCCCCTAAGTTTAAATTTTCTTGACGAGGATGAAAGTTCGATTGAGAGCTTACTATCATTAGATGCTAGTCTCATCGATCGGTTAGACGAGCTTCAACTTATTCTGTTAAGTCAGGTCCGAAAACTAGAGGAAAGTACTGATATAACAGACAAAATTATTACGCCATCTCGTCACGAGGCGATTGGGAATAGAATTTGCTCTGCTGCTATGGAGGTGCTCGAGACCTTCAAACCATGGGTTCTAACTATAGAATCTATTGATCTAACCCTCCTAAAAAATAGCTTCGAGAATCCACAGCTAATGGATTTTGCGTGTTTAAAGCAAGGTTTATATGATAATGTTTCAGATTTGATCATAAGCTGCCAGGCCGTCACATCTCCGATAGGGGATGAGTGGGCTGAAGCAAAAGAAGAATCTCTCAGCGAACGGTTGACTCATGTTCGATTATGTGCAAAGCTTCTAGGAACCAAGGCGTCCCAAGTTGGATATTCTCTACAACTTATTGGCGAATTAGTACAAACGGCCCAATCTCTACCTCCTAGAGACGATAGCCGTCTACAAGAATCAATCAGGACTGGAAATTCATCTTATGGCCGATCCCAACATACTCGTAGTGAATCCCGGATAAATCCAGTCTTACGCCCCGTTATCTCCAGTCTAACTCAACCGTTTGGCGAAGGCGATCCCTCTGCGAACTATCCAAAAGGTGAAAATTCTAAAGTGAGGAAGTTTTTTGGGGAAGAGCCAACTCGAAGGGATCCAGTAATTGCGGCTCGCACAGATCAGTCTCCTTCTCATGTAGATGAGGTTCCTGACTGCCTGAAGTTAGATTTCGAGGAGGACATTGCTTATGATCTTAAAGCCCAGCCTCCGCAGCTAAAAGGCGGTACATTAATGGCTTTGGTCGAGCAGCTCACACGCCATGACAAGCTGGATTCTAACTTCAATAACACATTCTTATTGACTTATCGGTCTTTTACGACAGCTCGAGAGCTGTTCACGCTACTAGTACAACGCTTCCAGATACAGCCTCCGGAAGGACTTTCTATATCTGATTATGAAGTATGGAGAGATCGAAAACTCCGACCAATACGGTTTAGAGTCGTAAATATTCTAAAGAGTTGGTTTGATAACTTTTGGATGGAGGATCAAAGTGAAGAGACTAAAGCCTTAATTCGCGAAGTCTACACTTTTGCTCGGGATACTGTTAAGACTACGGAGACGCCTGGATCAACGCCCCTTATGAGTGTACTTGAAAAGCGCTTGCGCGGACAAGATACCACAGCAAAAAGACTCGTCTTGACCTTAAGTCAGTCAACTCCCGCGCCAATAATGCCGAAAAATATGAAGAAGCTAAAATTTCTGGATATCGATGTAACTGAGTTTGCTCGTCAACTCACCATTGTTGAATCAAAGCTCTATGGTAAAATTAAACCTACTGAATGCCTGAACAAAACATGGCAAAAGAAAGTTGCTGAGGGTGAGCCTGAGCCTGCACCAAACGTGAAGGCATTGATTCTCCATTCCAATCAGCTTACAAACTGGGTCGCTGAGATTATCTTAACGCAATTAGATGTGAAGAAGAGGGTCGTAGTCATAAAACACTTTGTTTTGGTAGCAGATGTAAGTGGAACCTCATACCAAAAAAGACTGGGAGTACTTGATTGTTTTCTGGTGATTAACTTGAATTAGAAATGTCGTCAGCTCAACAACTATTCTACACTCACTTCTATCATTTCCGCACTTGGTACCGCACCTATTCATCGTCTGAAGCGAACTTGGGACCAAGTTCCTGCCAAGACAATAGCCATCTTGGAATCCATGAGAAGACTCATGGGAAGTACCAAGAACTTTGGAGAATATAGGGAGAGCCTTCATCTAGCTAATCCACCCTGTATACCGTTTTTTGGTAATTAAATCAATTGGATTCTTGATCTTAAACTAATTAGAGCAAATAGGTGTTTATTTGACCGACTTGACCTTTATAGAGGATGGTATCCCATCAATTATAAAAAAGTCAACTTTGATCAATTTTGCCAAGCGTGCAAAGACAGCCGAGGTCATTCGTGACATACAGCAATACCAGAATGCACAATATCCTTTACAGTCTGTCCCCGAACTGCAAGAATATATCTTGAGCAACATGCAAGCTGCTAGTGATGTCCATGAAATGTACGAAAGGAGCTTGGCGGTGGAACCACGCGAAAGGGAAGATGAAAAGATTGTGAGGTATGTGTCGTAGGCGATGCTGCAAGTAGCTTTCCAAAAAAGTTTTCTGGGACGCTATTTTTGCCCCCTCGCGCTGATGTGTAATATGAAATAGGGTTCTCGCGGAATCTGGGTTTCTCTGAGGCATACGCATCAAGATTCTCTAGACGGTATACTCTTGGATATTTTACAGCTCGCTGCAACGAGAAAACTCTACACAGTCAGGAAACCCAACATTATCACGACAAAAACACCTTAATAAACCTGTCAGCAAAATATCTAGAGCCTCCAGCGCATATGCTAGACGAATGGAAAACGCAACAAAAAATGGTGTAGTGAGTCAATGTTAAAGATATTGGAGTCTAAAGCAGCTCGATATCAAGGATCCCCGCTTTGGCTGATGTTACTGTGACAAATAAATTGAGATGTAATCGTACGAAAATACGACTTAATTAGTCCCAGAGAAAAGTCGAGCATGAAAAATATAAAAGTTCAGGGTCAATGTACGAAATAAAAGGCCATCCTAACAAAAGAGTCGGACCATATTGAAGATGGGAAGAGAATATATTTGGTGGCATTCTCTGAATGCCAATACTTTATCGAATATTCAGTGAGGGTCTTATTTTCAATTCTCATGGACGACACTTAGATTGTTATTACTGGCTATCTTCTCTAATCCATTCGAACATTTACCCCGCATATGAATACGTTTATATCAAATTTCTACTTAGTATTTTTTGAATAGCTTTCTAAGTCATATAGCTTCCATGGTTCCTAGGTTACAAGTATCACAGCTCAGAATAATAGTCTATTTGCTCGACAGCAAATAATGACAATGGTATTCCCGGCGGTAAATATTATGATATTGGTATGTCAATCGCCTTTATGATTAGCATAATTATGGTTTAGCATTGGCCAAGAACAACTTCTACATGATACTACTGCTAAGCAATGAATCTCACATCTGCTAAGCTCGCACGGGAATAATTTGGAGCAGACGAAGAAATTCATCAAGCCTTATCTACATCCCTACCTGGGCATCACCATTGTTTTTTTCATTAGCTATGCACACAGAGGGCAGGCTAGGAATCAAATCAGTCAATAAATCCATTAACGAAAAGATAAAAACGGAGGAAATAACACATTCTAATTCAACAGTTTATGGATGAGAAAGGTATTCTTTTTGTGGATTATCGTCCAAGGAGTAAACCCCCCTATGTTATTTACTTATTTAGCCAAATACTGTTCATGTAAGACAGTAATTAGAACGTTGGATCAAGAGCTGCAGGGTTGATATTAGAAAGAATCAACCTTTACTGCGGTACTTTTTTAGGGCGTGCACCAAGTCAGATAGGCTCATATCTATGCTACCATAAGCTTTCGTCAATGTGCAGCTATAGGAATGGAGAAAATCATCTTAAACCACCATGTACTAGTCCCATTTTTTGATATCACAGAGAATTATGGTTCGTACGAGCAGCGTGCAGTAAGAAGCCCAAAAATATGAGCTTAGCGGATGCAGGAGCAATTTACTCACCCTTGTTAGGGTATCTAGGTTGATTTCCAGAGACTACGAAGATGAAGGGCACATAAATTCTTGGCTTAAGATATCTAACTTAGTTTTGGATGGATCATAGTTGTCAAGGAACTAATATTAATGGTGGAATATTCCTAGTGATAAAAATGAATCTATCATATTAAATAATGTCCGGGTTGGAGTAGGCTTCAAACGCAGAACAAGCCTTTACACTCTAGCTTCTATTTAAATTTGAACTATTTCTCTACTCATTGTGACTCGAGCTAATAAATGCAACTGGTCGGTAAATTTGCTGGCCATGACTTTGAACGAGGTATGAGTGGGTTTTTAGACTCATTCTGTGTGCACTTAATATTTGCGTTCATGGATGGGCTCTGAGATCTCTCATGAAGTGTAGCCCCCGCTTTTCTCAGAATTGATGATTGAATGATTTACGGTAAAGGAATTAAAATGGTTTTTGGGCAGTTTCACCATCGATGGGTTGTAGATTATGGTGGTGCAACAGTAAACTAGCATCACGGACCCGTGTTTTTCCTTCGTTGACGCACAGCATCAGACTTCCGCGCCCTGTACTCGCCTCGATATACTTGGCTTTCGAGCAATATAGCCGTCATAGGCTCAGCTTCGGGCCGAAGAGGTGTGGAGTGCGTGGAACTCTATGAAGGTGTCTTTTCAGCAATTCTGCCCTTCTTGCTTCTTTTTTCACTAGTCGACGGCATAGTTTTCATGGTGGATTAGCCTTCCCGCATCAATGCTCACGCCATGAACACTGCTTGTTGTAGATGCGCATCGTATGCTGCATGTCCTCTCGTGCCTGTAACGTGCGCCTGGCACGGGCAAGTTCGGGGCACCAGCTTCGACGCTGGTGCTTGGTCTCGTGCCACAGTGTACAGATAATGCAGTCACGGCGAATGACGAGCATACGGCCGGCAGAGGACCCGACTCATTGGAACGTCGCTGTTGGCCGATGGCACGATCGCTGATCCATTATTTGGCGTCGGTCACCTGACGAGGGGGCGGGAGAGGGAAAGGTGTGGAATCCCCATTGGCGTAACGCACGCTCCGCGCAGGACTTGAGCCAACAACTCTGCGTCGCCAGACTGCCCTGCGCATCGAGCCGGCAAAATCTTTCAACCCAAGCATTTGACGCTCTAGGATCAATCTGGCGGGAGCTGGCCCTGGCCCCAAAGACTCGATGAGATGGGCGGCTACATCCGCTACGCCACTCACATCGTCTTTGGCGGCGTGCATGACGGAGGTACGGATCCGGTTCGAGAGAGTTAACCAGCCCAATCTATAATGGCCTTCTAGCTTGAAGTTGGCCATGTCACTGAAGTCTTTGTTTGGCTGACGAGCCGCCACTTCTAACTCACTGTCCTAAAACATGGGCCATGCCTCGGTTGGATTTCGTAGCGACGGATTCGCGACGGTGGAAAGGGCAGCGACCGTCAGCTGCGCGGCCAGCCATAACGCTAGGGGAGAAGCAGCTGTGTGCATCCGCCAAACGGACCCAATAACGAGAGGGTTACGACGCTTGCCTCTCTCGTCCCGTCCTCTACCCGCTCCATCTCCCATCCCGAGACGCAATGTCGCGAACTGACACGCTCTGGCAATGCTGGGTCTCTTCGTGCCCAATTCCTCCCTTTCCCCGCCCGCCCCGACATCGCATCATGTGGCCCACCAACTTACCCTCCGCCCACCCCTTGCCCGGCATCTGACTGCGTCTAGGTTAAAATGCTCAAGGACGTTTGGAAATGCTGCTTGGTGGCTCTAGCTCGAAGACTGTGGTATCGCGTGGAGTGCGGAGTCTGTTCAGCAAAAATAGGCCTCCAACAGCTGTAGAGCGCAGGGGGAGAGATGTAACAATCTCATTCCGTAAGCTCACCCTCTACCCAAGCAAAATTCAGCAGACTAATTTAGAGCAGACGGCCTTGGGCCACCGCTGAAAGTTGTACAATCGAAGTTCATGCCGCATTGGCAGGGATTCATCGCAGATGATGATGTGCAGTTCCCGAGAATTCGCCGTCCGGTACGCCGTGCCGCGCCATAAAAGAACCATATACACTGATCAGGCGAGAGGGATCTGATATCTCCCGGCTCCATCGTGTTATCAACAATTCAGCCCGACTCTAGGCCTGCCAAATTCCTAAATTTAGGCAGAAGGAGGCTGTCGGGTGGCGAGTGAGAAATACTCGCACATTTTGATATCGAACGCTGTTGGCCCAAAACGTGTGCAGCCCCTTTAGATTTTGGCCGCATGGAAGAGGCAGTGAAGGTGAAAAGGAGATGGAGGCAGGCGTTGCCGTGATGGATCAAGTACATTACTGCGCTGACAAGGTTGCATGCATACCGATCATGCAGGCCCAACTGACCGTCCGACACAGCATTTACTAAACTCTGGGTCCCTTGGGAGTTAGGATTCAGCTCCCTTCTACCATCACCACTCAGGAGTGAGCAGTATAATCGCCGCAAAATCTATGTTTGCAGACACTAGTTGTGATGAGCGCCGCTCGAGAGCATTCTACAGAAGTAGGATATCTCAAGAGATGCTGCGTAGGTCATGGTCTGATTGCCATCGATTTGACGAAGCTAAGTCGGCCGGAAAACTCTTTGGCTGGCTATTCCCTTAAATCAGGGTCTACCATCTTCTTGCTAGGCCTCATGGCGACTAGAGTGAAGTGTCCCTTCCGACGGTTGTCGAAGTCACAAACTCATTAATTGCGCAAGCCACATATCAGTACATTCCTTTTTACATTTTAGCCGTACCTCCTCACGAACCCCCCTGATGTTAAAGACTCTAGGAATGCCAAAGGACATGATTCTAGACAGCTACATTAAGCTTCTGTGGATCAGCTCCGCATAGCATCACTCATCTTTCTGTCCCGCTCCTCGCCGCCACGACCATCAATCCCAGTCAGCACAATAAGATGAAAGACATTCCGACTCGTCAAAACTCAACTAAACCGTAAACCGAGTACCTATCGGAAGTAACATACGCGAGCCTTGAACTAAAGCATTTCATCTCGCCCGATATTCTGTCACAGTAAAGGGGTAGCGGCTCATTGATTTGCCTTGGTGCATGTCGATAAGAAAAAGTTGTGCGCTAAATGTGTGGTCAGAGACCCCATCTACACAAGTCCTTCCCCGACCATTCAGCGATGAAATTCCTCGTCTTCGGGCATGGAATGGTAGCTTTCAACAAGCCACACACTTCCCACCTCGTTGTGACCAACATATTCCGGGCACAAGCTCGTCCTGGAGCCCATCGCCACGAGCATCTCTTGGACTAATTATGCAAACTATCAGGAGACTGACTGTGATGGTATTAATTTTAAGCAATGCGACCTAGATACTAGTAACAGCTGCACCATCGACTTATTCCAGGACTAGCCGGCTCGTGAGGAAAGAGAGTCTGGCTGAGAGATGGGCTGCAGTCACTATGAATAGAGTTGATATAATCATAAGTGGTCGAATAGAAGTAGCGGGAGAGCTTAGCACGAGGCTAATGGGGCTTTCGTCGAGACCACGCAATCCTATAAGGCTTCACCCAACTCATCACACGAGCATAGGAATGTACTCAAGGCCTTTGTATGAAAGAGACGTTTCAGATCAAATGCTGAAACAAGTGAAGTTTCTAATCCTTTTAGCGACACTCAATCACGAACGATTTCTTATCAGGTCTAGCGTGCAGCTTCGAAAAATCCCGGACTCTACCTCGAACTCCATAGAATCATGAGACTTAGTCCGTGATAGGGTGGAGGCAAACGGGAAAGACCAATGGAGCAGACTAGACCAGATTAGCTAGGGCCAAATTCCAAGTGTCAGCAATAGCTCAGACGTATCAGAAGGTGACCATCCAGGACAACGCTAGAATCGAGCTAGTCTAGTGAGCTTGGAGGAGATAAGAATTTGAAGGTCCCAATCAAGTTTTGGTTGGGAATGAGAGATATCTAGCACTACGGTGCATTAGGAGAGATCAAGTCTGATCAATACTATTATCTACATAAGGAGTAGGAGTCTCTAACCGAGTTTAAAGGTGAGTATTATACATCCTAAGCCTTTTCAAAGCCATATCACCTAATAGACATTCTCTCTCTATCTCTTAATATGAAGTCTGGTCCCTATAACTAGCGACTATATTTATTCAAGAACCTTCATTGTCCTTGCATCATTTTTATCTCAAAATTTTTTGTTTTCAACTAGCCTTGGCCCTCCTATAGGAACAAAGGTCATATCTACATTGTTTTTACTTTTCATATCATGAGGTTTTGCTTCCATGGCGTGTAGTTCTTTATCCGAATCATCCAGCACAACAGTAATTGTTGAGGGTCTCTTTGATTCCGGAATGACGGTTGTTGGCATCAACAGAGGAATCGGAGAAAACTAGATATTTTCTCTGCTTAAACAGTCGACCCAGCCAATACACGCGGGGATTGTTAATTTTGGTTGTTACATATGACCAGATGAACTTATAGTTGTAATTGTAGATTGGCCGAGTATCATTTGCACAATACGAATCAATATAGATCCATTCAAAGTCGATAGACTTGTGCTGCGTTGCGATCTGTACTTGCAGGTTCCCTATTTCTATCTCTAGCACGCGCATGAGAATTTTGCATAGCACACGTGAGCCCTTAGATATTCTGTAAGCATAGTTATTACAATGGCCACTTTTTTGGGAATAACTTCAAAGATGCTGTCATGGCGGATATTGGAGAGTCAAAGGTTATACTAGCGAAGATTCAACATACCCTTGTGGGATAATTAATCGCATCTCTCGCCATAACGTCGACGGCGAGTAGGTAAGTGTAGATGTGATTATATGCCTAATGAACATATTCTGGACAAAGCTATCCCATAAACACGTAATCACCCTCTATCTAATGGTATCCAAAAAGGACGACTCTGCCATTGTCGAAGACTATGAATAACTACCGAAGAAGTTGGACAGGGAAATGTCTCGGGTCAAAAATATGGATTATCCATTCGTACGCGGGTTGTTTGCTTTGGCCAGTGCTTACATTCTGTATTTAGAACTGCAGGTTATTCTATTCCTAGCGCACATCTATATTTAGAGATCAGGTAAACCATGATCAGTGTATAAAGTCCTAGGATTCCGGGAGAAATAGGTATCAAGTTGTTTCTACTGAGTTATCTTTTGCTTTAATTACATGCACTTCGCCCGTCACGGGCCAGGCTCCCGGTTACCTGACAGTAACACCATCTTCGTCTCTAAGCATATCCCATAGCACTATTATCATGAAGCTAACCACCATGAGATCAGATGGCCGGATCGAAGCTCAACTCATCATCCAATCTTCTTAGTTGTGGAGAAGAAGGCATCCCATGAGCTTCCGGAGCGTGCTTAGCTCTCAAAATGGCAGTAATGTATTTGATCAAGTTGGGCTCCTATAATACAAAGAAAGGAGGTAGAGATGAGTCCGCAGACCTCGTAAGACTCCACTATCTAGGCCTCGTCTGGCTAGGGCCGCGGGTTCTCGGAGACGTTTTCCCGCGTACGCAGTTTCCATTGCTACCATTTGTTCTTTTTTTCTAGGCTGGCCGTGCCCTACAGGGAGTGGCTGGAATTTATGGCTAAACGCTGGGCTGAATAGCTACCCGTCATGGGCACGATATCAGAGGTATTTTTTCGTTGTTTAAGAGGGTAGGGGAACTGTAGAAGAGATGGCGTATGTCAGAGAGGAGCCTAATGCGCTACATAGTCGTTGATCCAAGAAGTATTTTAAAATCAAAAGCAAAACTCTGTCCCATGGTCTGCCGGCAAGACGAATTCTTCACCTTCCAGTGGTGCCGGTGTAATGGCTCAGTATGCTCTACATATCTGGGATAGCCAGGAAGCATCGCATCCGAATTGAAGTCGAAAGCAACCTTTAACATATCTAAAATCGAAGACTTCTCGACAAATGTCTGACCTATCATTCTCACACGAGTCCTCCATCTCAATCTTACTACACCACCTCGCCTCAAATACCGATAATGGCCTTACTCTAATTGCAATGGAGCATTTGCCCCATGGAAAATCAGCAATTTCTCACTACAAGGCTACGATACTATGTTTACCCTCGATGAGGAAACTAAGTCATGATATATAAAGCACGAGTCCTGATCTATAGGGAACAGGTAGGTGGGACGTGGGACGAACGAGTGATGAGGTCACAATTGTGCATACTGGGACGCATATTTTTCGACTATCTCCGACATAAAGGTATCTGTGGGCGCCGAGGCAACAATTTCGGATAGTGTTATCGACACTTCAAAGGCTGAGAACTATGGAAGGTGTTTTGCTCCGCCTTCTGGTCGTTATCATCCCGATGTAAAGTCTGGGTAGCCTGGCCACCTACCCAACTCGAGAAATGGAGAACTGTGAGGCCATATCTTGCGCGACGGCTATATATAAAATGACCATGGCAAGTTAGGGTAGCCAAAATTTTTTCTGTTTTCCCTTTGGTGGATGTCAACGGTTGAGGGAAGGGTGAAAGTTCCTAGCACAAAGGTCTCGAGTGGTATCAGCGAATGCACCCACAAAATGGGTAGTCTAAATGTCAAAATGAGTCATCGTCGTATATAGTCGCCGGGGAAGGACTCGCCTTCCTCGTGTCATGCTCTGTGGATACTAGGCCTGTGACCGTCACGAATAAATATTCAAATTCATTCTGTCTCATGGACTAAGTGGAAAAAAACGTAAGTACTCAGACAGCAGCAAAACATAATTCTTGACCATATAGCCAATAATTATGCAAGTTACGGGCGAAAATATGACCAGTCTTTCTAGTTTAATTTTAGCCAGAAAAAGCCTCTATTATTGCTCAAGTAGGCCAATGGGAGGCTACCGTTCGGCAATTAGAATAATCATACTCATCCACTAAGCCCATAGAGTGCATGAAAAATCATGTAGACGCTTAGCTAGGGGGTAGAAGATTTGAAGGGCTCCATATTACCTGGATGAGGAAACTTTATTTTTTTGGCAATAATGGCAGTTTATGGAAAGCGGATCATTCTTTGGGGACAAGCAATGCCACTGGCTATAAAAAGACACAACTAGATTGATTCATCTCTTCTATAATCTTTCTCTGATATAGTGTCATGGCTAGATAGCTGCATAAACAATTAAAATGTGATGCAAAAAAAGACATAACATCAAAGCAGCGATTAAAATACAAGGTCATTTGACAATACCACAGTTTTCTCTCACTGAGTCCTTTACTCCAAAGCTAAACTGGGGAGCGCACGTTAAAAGTATACGGCTGAAGGAAGAGACGCATGTTCAGGTAATGATCAGACTAATACAGTCCATATGGGGAGCGACTTTCCTTGAGACAGAGCTGTTGTACAGCACGATAGTGAGAGCGGCCCTCACAAATGGGTCCCCGGTTCGGGTCGAGGCCGGGCTAGGTAGTAGAAAACCCGAAAGAATGGTAAAACGCCTTTGAAGCATCCAAAAAAACTGCCTAAAATAGTCCCAGAGGCCTATAAATCGGCCAGTATGAGAATGCTCGAACACAAAACTGCTACTCTAGCAGTAGAAATCTGCCTGAAACAGCAAAGATCCAATACGTTGGATGCTCGAAGAGCTTACCAGTGCAAAAGATCGTACAATCTACCTTTAGTAATATCAAACTGCTCAAGGTACAGAAGAGAAGATATTCGATCAAACAATAGAAGATGAGATCTGGCAAACTGAGTGGAATGTTGTGAGGAAGACCAGGCTAAAGGACGGCAGAAAGAGACCGGAAAAGTCGCAGTACACTAAGAATGGGCCAAATCCTGGCCAACTCAAAGGCGGGTCCAATAGTCTCGACAACTAGTCATCGCCGATCCCGAAACCTGGAGAAAAGTTAAACTTCATCGGAACCAAAAGTCGAAATAATAGAAAATCAGTCGCCAGGAATCGCCGTTGTTTCTCCAACGTAACCTAACAAGGGCCAAAGGCAGTCTAGCGATGCAGGTTCGGAGTCAGCACATGGGGATTAACTCATATCTATGCAAAAGAAAAGTAGACGGAGACTATAGTCTAAGCTGCCCACGTGGCCATCAATCGCAGAACCCCAAGCATATGATTATGTCCCGCCCTCAATGGTTAAATGGCAGAGGAGAGATTTGGAGACAAGCCCAAGATCGGCCCTTAGAAGCTATGATAAGTAATCCAGTCGATATCAAAAGAATTACACGGTGGATACCAGATCATGATTGGATAAAGCAATTCTGGGCGACAAAGGCGGTCGAAATGCTGCCGAGGGAAAGAAATAGGGCGAGCAATTATTGGAGTGAAAAGAGATGTTATTGGTTTACACGGACTACATTGTAGTGTAGCTGCGCTTCCTGAAGGATAAATTGAAAAAACCAAGACGGTAAACAAATGTTTGGGGGTTTTCACCAGAAGGTATCCCCCATGTAAATATTACAGTTTGTAGACACCTGCATCGACCCACAGTTCGCCAAATCAGGGCAATGGAACCAAATTCAAATAGACCTGAACATGTCTTCGTGAAGCTTCGTCTAGCGTCCGGCTTTCTCATGGATAAGTTAAAGGTGGCGACTTAATGTTTCTAAAGTCTTATCCGAGAGTGATTTCGGCGAAGGAGCTTATGTGGAAGTTTCTGAACCGATACTGACCTAGGACTGTCGAATTACTCATGTAATGTGGGAACTTCTCGGCCAGTTGTCGGATTTGCTGGTTGGGGGTGTAGTGCCGTGGATGAGTCAAATAGTGCTGTT